AATTCTCTGTTTCTGAACTATTGTCACTATACAAACTGGGTCATTTCTATTAAAAATAATAATTCAAAAGAAAGAAAAAAAATCAGTTCTCCCTACTCAGCACAGGAATCCACTACTGTAAATTGTGCACCAAACCATAAAATACAGGGACAGCTAGCTTTTTTTTTTTTTTTACAAGACAACACTGTTGACAAACTATCTTTACAGAACACACTGAGCCACAATCATATGCTAGCCTAGCCTGTGCAAATTGTCTGTTTATGGCTCAAAGCATTATGCAAACTCAGAAAACCTGTTTGAGGAAACACAGTTAAATCTATTGTAGATTAATCCGTCAGATAAATACAGCTGATGTGTTGTACGTATGCAGCCAATGTAATTAGTTTATGATCCACCATTTGGTGCTGAATTGGGTTAACCTGGTAAACTATCACCTAGGTAACCATTAATAACTATGGTATGTTTATATATCCTTTCTCTGCCATACAAGCAATATCTGCTGGTTTTTCATTTTTTTCTGTACATTTTTCTTTGATGCCAATTAAAGTATGCCAAATAAGACAAAAATTATTTTACTTACAGCAAAGCGAAAACGTATAGTAGAAGGCAATAGTATTTTTATGGATAATTAAAAAGGATATTTATTATGAAGCATAATGTGAAATACTGTATGTTGTGTTTGTTGATTCATACGAATTAGTTAAATGTTTCTACAATATCTTTAGAAAAGCTGACTGTTCAGAGCATCAGACAGTAAATGTTACGTTTCCATTTTCTAGAATTTTAAGTAGTGTCCTTTTGGACAGAAATAGCTGCATCTTTTTATTGTTCTGTCAAATAAAGGATCTTTCACACTTCCTTATTCAGTGCAAAACTGGGTGAGATGGGAATGACAATTTTGTCAGTGTGAAAATTGTCTCAGAAGCACACAAGAAAAGTTGTTAAATCATTCTGCCTATAAATATGAACCAGAATTGTCCATAATTAAGGTGTTGAACTAGGACTGGGGAGACCCAGGTTCAAATCTACTGCTAGCCATGAAAGCTTAGTAAAATGACTTTGGGCTTCATCTCACACAGAGTTTTTGGGGAAAAATTGGAGGAGAGAATGTTCTGTAAGCCTCTTTTTGCTCCTGGAGGAAAAGCAGGATATAATTGTAACACATTAAAATATTTATTTGATATGTTATAATTCAAGTTATCCTATAGTTATATTCTAAAATATATAAACGTAGGGCATAATTAGCATTTTATGTACCATAAGGATGCAATGAATGTAAAAAGTTATGTATAAAAACATCCGAATAATAAGAAAGAGTCCTGGTGGATCTTAATTCTGGATTGAGCACCTATAAAGCCAAAATGGGCTTTTTTTCGTTGCATCTTAGTACAGTATGTTATTGTTATGTAGTCCCGGTCATTTGTAAACCATGGTTTATGGTTCCTGATGTTACATTGATCCAATTCATGCAGTAAACCACAGAAATCATGGCTTCGGGTTTTTTTTGCATATACTGCCCCACAGTAGTCAACCAAATGCCGCACAATTTTCAGAATTAAAGCCATCCTTCAGGCAAAAGAAAGCAGCACTAGCAAACAGTCCAAAAGTAGAAAACCGGGCAGACACGTGTGTTTCTTATAGAAAGCAGGAACTGAAGGGAAGCCTCTGTTTCAGGCGGAGAGCCTAATGGTGTGACACGCGGACCCGGCGGACTTAAATGGGAGCAAAGGAAGGGCCTTTCTAGCGGATGATGTCTCGGGTGTTGCTGGAGTCGACTTAGATATTTCTAGGGACGTGCTTACCCCACAAAAATAAGTTTCTCTTACTTCGTACAATATTATAGGAAACTCGTCAATTTTTATGCTGCAGGCTCCCTCAGGCTTTCTGGAAAGCCGCCTTTTCGAATCTGGAAAACCATTTAGGAACGTGGGGTTTTTTTTTTGCGAAAACTAAACCAAATACCGGGTGACCCGCTTTGGATTCTCTTCTGAGTGTCAGCTTCTCTGTTAGCTTTCTCAGTTCTTCTTGCTGGTATATGGTGAGTATCTCCAGTCATGTAAGTGGGGAGAGGGACACGAGGAGACGTGGGGCTGAGTATAATCGGGGTGGAAGTATTCAGATACTGATAACGAAGTCGGTAAAGGAAAGAAGAATGTACTTTTGGTGTAATAACTGAGGAGAAGGCAAGAAGGATTTAATTTTTTAAAGGTTTTTAAAATTAAATTTTAAAATTTGTATATACCTTCATATAAATGCACACACATGCACTAGTTGATCTCAGATGTTAAGCATGGTCAGACCTGCATAGGAGACCACTGAGAGATACCAAGACTGCTGATAACTGGGAAGCTGAATAAACAGACAATGGAAAAATCGCTTTTAGATTGTTACCGAGAAAACTACATGGACTGTACATGAAAGCACCAAGAGTTGAACTTGACTATTATGTTTTATCTTATAGAAATATGTGTTGCATATATCCTGATTTGAGTAAACTGTTTTACTAGTTTGGTTCCACAACTAGTTAGTACATTATAATAATACTGGGGCTATAATAATACTGAGACATATCAATCTTGTTCTAGATTGAGATTTTTCATACATTATATACATTGTGTGTGATAAATAGATATAACTACTGGTAAAAATGTGGTTAAGGGTTCAGGAATTTCCAACCATTTGGGGCAGGGGCACATTTGGAATTTTGGGAAAATGTTCTAGTAGAAAGTAGATTTTGCCAACACAAGGCACTCATTTACCAGAAGGCAAATTGGTAAAGTGGCTTTTCTCTAACATCCCTGGATACTGTCTACTGTATTTTTCTGGGCAGATACTGTAAATCTATTTCCAGAGCATTAGGCTGCAATTTTTTTCTTTTTTCTTTTTCTCTCCAGAGTATGCATGAGCCTGGAATCATTCTTAGCAAGAGATTATGCTTGAGGCTAGGAGCATGCTAACTGACCATTTAATTTAAAATACTCAAAAGTAGAATAAAATCAGGTGAGAATAGAGTGTTGTTAACATCAAAATCGATGTCTGTGAGTGCCGTATTGGGGACTCCTGAGGCTAGTTTTTGGCTGAATGTGTTGTGCAAACACACTGATAGCATGGGTTGGCATCTGGTTTAGTATTTGTGTGAAGCCAGACAATTGGGTTAATTCAGTAACCATGATTTGGTTAACTACAGGTTAGAGTGTTGTACAGATGTGACCTAAATGCATATTTTTATTTCAAAATTTTCCTAGTATGAGAAGGTGTTTCTGTGCCATTAAAATGAATTTAGGGAACTGTCATTTCCAGCGGGTAATAATACTTAGCTGATCTTGGAAAAGGTAAGTACTGCCAGATCTGATTAGTACACAGATAGGAAACTATCAGAAAATTCCTTGATTGGCAACTAGATTGGAAAGTTGAACAAATATCCTGGAAGGCAGTGGCAAAATATTCTCTATTATTGCCAAGAAAACTACACAGCTTTGTCTATCTTGTTATTAGGAGCTGAACTTAATTTGAAGGAGTATTTGCCTTGTATTCTTACAACACAAATGATATTCCACAGCAGAGTATACAGCGAAACCTGTCATAAGCAATGGGATATCAGGGACACATGATAGTGCATAACACAGTATTATATAGTCATTGCTCATATGCTGTACTATATTACACCTAGTATTAATTTGATAGTTAAAGCTGTTTACAGTGATGTCTTTCAACAGCTTTAGCTGCTAGGCTCTCTCTTTCCAATTATAACTGCTATATCTTAGATATCCTATACCTAAGTTACATTTGAACAAGATTGTTTCGGTGTAGCATATTTTAGTGATGTGGAAGATGTCATCCAATATTCATGCATGTTATTCTAATGTTAACCATCTAACCTTTTCTCTGTCTTTTAAGGTCTGTGAAAATGTTCCATTTTATACAACGATGTTGTTTCCAAGTTCCTTCCAAGGTAAAATTCTCCCAGACAGTTGAATTGTATTTAATTTTAATTTTTTGTTTTTTTAAGAGAACAACCTCCATTACACACTTGAATAAAAAGATAATCCTAATATTTGTTTTCCAGAAGAGATGTCAATAGTTTTGTAGCTTTTGTGAAATCTCCCCATGTATTTAATGTGTGCAGCTCTTGTGATGGTTCTCTCACATGTTAAAAGAGATTAACATTTTAAATTATGTTCTCTTAAAAAATTCTATTTTGATTAGAATAATGAAGACATAAAATCAACATGCTCAACATGTATTAATTATAGTACTAAAATATATAGTGTTATGTAGTAATTATTCATGAATAGAGAGAAAAACACTTTTCCATTATAAATGTAGGTACCTGGAAATGCTCTGGCAATATTAATTCACTTTTCTTCTACTTGCATTTCATATACATGCATTGCAGTGAAGATGAGTATAATTGCATACACTTTATATTTTCTCTGGAAAGATACTAGAGATATGGAAAATATTTTCAATATGAAATAGGCTGTCTTATCTCACGGGAAGTACTCTGATGCTGAACAGCATCAGAACACTTCCTGTGGGGTGAGAATAGCTTAATTTAAATCTTTTTTTCACCCCTATTTTTCTTCTGTTAATCATTTTAAGCATTAGTAAATTGTATAGGAATTCCTGATGCTTTATGCCTTGAATGGGAATGTATCGCAGATCCCAAATAAGAGTTTTTATATGATTTTAGAAAGTATTTAGGTAAAAGAATAAGTTTGAGACAAAATGTGTAGCAGTTGCGTCTTTAAGCTATATTTAAGCTATCACACATTTTGGTGACAGGTGTTTTTTATTTCAATTGCAGATAATATACCTTCAAAGATTTCAACAGCCTAGGAATAAATTTTGCTATTCTCCTTTTGAATATCGTCGGATTTTCCCACCAAAATTACAGCTATTTAAACATGCATCTTTGTGCCCAACTAAGATCCAGGACTTCCATTCCTCCACTTGCAGCTGGAAGAGAAAAAAGCCTTCAGAACATGCATCTGATAAGCTGGATACCCCACTATTTGACTGGGCATCACTCAAGGACTCTCCAAAACCTGCCATTCATTTAGCAGTTGCAGGATTAATTCCATTAGTTTCCGTGCCATTAGTAATGGCTATCCAGAAGGTCTCCTATCCAGAGTTGGCATTTGCTCAAATTACATATAGTGCCTCTATGCTGTCTTTCCTAGGAGGGATCAGGTGGGGATTTACTCTTCCAGAAGGTAGTCCTGCAAAACCTGATTGGCTTAATTTGGCTAACAGCATAGTTCCTTCATTAATAGCCTGGTTTACCTTGCTTTTTAAAGATCTCACTACAGCTGGAGTCATGGTTATCATAGGTTTAATGATAGCCCTGCATTATGACATTGTCCTTCTTCCCACCTATCCCAACTGGTTTAAAGCCTTGAGAGTAATTTTAACTATAGTGTCTGCATCTGCTGTATTTGTCACATTAATTATTGTGAATTACTGTCCAGAAAAATATCTAAGTTTTAAGATGAAGGAAGCAGAAGATTCTAAGTAAACACACACAAAATGCAGAGCCTTATGGGAGAAAAGGAGTACAAAACGTAAGCAGTATTCACAATGCATGAAAATGAACTTGGAAATCTTAACAGAAAATAATAGTTTAATTATTTAATTCATTAAATTTACAACAGTAGCCATGGAGAAATGAATTAGGAAAAAGGGGATGTGCTGAACACTTACAGGTGTTTTTCAGATTATTTGGTTTTCATTTGTGTGGCTTCAGTGGAATTTGGTTTCTCTTAATTTTTTACCAAATTTGGTACAAATATGAACCAGTTCACAGCAGTGGGACCTATTCTTGAAGTTGATTCTGGGTACTTCAGTATCAGGATTATGTAATGCATTTAGAGTGGTGCTTCACTTAGCACCTGGCAGCATATCCTCTTGAAGGCTCAGTGTAGCTGTTTTGAAGGCTTTCCCATGTTGTCTGAACATGTGTATGCATGCACAGAAGATTTCCACTGAGATGGCAGCTAAAGTTTTATTACCAGCAAATTATAATGAAAGCAGTCAGATACTTCTGAGGTAATTTTATAACAAAGAGTATTTCAGTGATTTTAAAAAATGCTATTCTGGGCCAAAGGTATTTCCACATAGTGAATGCCTTTATTATACTTTGAGTAGTATGTTCTAAATGTTCTTCTAAACATTTAATCTTGTTTGCAGTTTAAACTGTAGATATACTACCAAAAGAAAGAGTATCATCTTTTACATTAGCAGTCTTCACTTCTTGTGCTAAGCATTAGATTCCTACTTACTGTGTAACAAAAAAGCAATTAATATAAAACGATTCCAGCATTGTTTTATAATAAAAACGTTACCAGAAAGATTTAAGAATACATTTGAGGTTTAAGGGAAACACATAGACTTAACTGTGCCACACTATTAGTCAAAACCTTGTGCTGGTCTGTGACTGTAATAAACTCTTCTCTCTCTCAAAATCTTCACTGCAATTTTCTTACCTTTTTCTCAGTTCTCTAGTGCTGAGTCCACAATGGCATAAGGTACAGTGGAGACATTTGTTATACAGTGGAACCTTGGGTTACGAACGCCTCTGTTAACAAACTTTTCGGGTTACGACCAGCTCTGGCTGCAAAAATTTACCTCGGTTTGTGACCTCCGCCTCGGGGTACGAACAGGATACGCGGCCATTTTTCCGCCCCTGACACATGGTCCGCGGCCATTTTTCCGCCCCTGACACA